CAGTACTTGAATAACGGGCATGTCTTCATGAATAAAATGTATGATCTCTTTCCTTGGGATATAGTTTTCTCCACGCATCTATTAAGCTGTTTTGTTGAGTAGAGAGAGAATTTTACTTTCTTCCTTATCTTTTCTTTTTTTGTGGCAGAACTATCTAATTTCTTGTCAATTATGCAGTTAGTATCATCTCCTATGAACAGTGGACCTTCTGCAAACTTTCTCAGTTTCTTTAAGATTATCTCAAAACAGACTGCTTGATTTTTTCCCCATGTAATAACTCCCTATAGTTGTGATTTTTCAATTTATTCTACCCTTTATCAGTATATATATCCCTTCTGTATCTTTCAAACAACCAGTAATTTCAAGATTGCAAATGTTCAAGATTTTAGTTTTGATGCCTTCAGAGAAATGGTTTGCAATCATCTTCCTCTTCTTTCTCTTCTCATAATATTTATATCCTGCTTTTCCAACAAAAAATTGGGGCTCAAAGAGGCTCACAATTGGGAAAAGCAATATCATAAAAACATACAAAAAGTAAATATTTAAAAAGAATTACTGTATTAGAATGATTCACATCTGAAAAAATAAAATGCAATTTTAAAATAGAAAGGTTTTTAAAACAGTTCTGTTAAAACATACAACACTCACAAGCCTGTTTTTTTTTTTAAAAAAAAAATCTGATTTAAAAGAATGGGCTAGTAGGTGTTGTATTATTTTTAGAACCTATGTGAAAACTCTGTTTTAAAAGCCTGTATAAATATAAAAGTTTTGGCCTTCTGATGGAAGGACAACAAGGAGGTAACCATTCTGGCCTCCCTGGGAAGGGAGTTCCAGAATCTAGGGTCAGCCACCAAAAAGGTCCCCATCACTTTTGATGGTGGTTGGATGAAGAGAAGAGGTTCTGGTGATCTGAGAGCCCAGACTGATTCATACAGGGAGACACAGTTTGCCCAAACCTGAGCCACACTGGGTTTCATAGGTCAAAACCAGTTCTTTAAATTGTGCCTGGGAACAACATACTGGCAGCCATTGGAATTGTTTCAACAGGGGCACGGTATAGACTCTGTAATCTGCCCTAGTTAACAATCTGGGTGCAGCTCTTAACTGCAGTTTCCAAAAACTCTTTGAAGGCAGTTCCAGGTAGGATACAGTGGCCTTGCAAGGAATGGGTGTGGTTGGTATACTAATGTGTTTTAAATGTGCAAAAGCACTCTAGGCTTCCATAGAAATCTGGGCTTCTAGGTTCAAAGTTGAGTCCAGGAATACACCCAAGCTGCCCTCCAACTGACTACAAGAATCACTGTCTTACCTGAATTAACTATTGATGTTTGCCCTCTCTCAGTCCATTACTGTTGAGAGACATTGGCTTAGGAGCAGAATAGCCTCTTTGGCTTGGAGTGGAAAGGAGTAGTACAGTTGAGTGCCATCTGCATATTCAAAACACTGCTCTTCAAAATTTTGGAAGACTTCTCCTAGTAGTTTCATGTCTGTGTTAAATATCATGAGTAACAAAACAGAGTCCGAAGAGACCCCAACAGCCAAGGAATTGAGCAAGAGTCCCCAGCATCACCATCTATGTTCACCTTCCAGGAAGCAATGGGCCAACTGTAAAACAATGCTTCCAAGGTTTCTGTAAGTTTTTTGGTCTGAATGGCCATGTTCCAGAAGCATTCTCTCCTGATGTTTCACCTGAATCTATGGCAGGCATCCTCAGAAGTTGTGACCTCACAACCTCTGAGAATGCCTGCCATAGATGAAGGCGAAACATCACGAGAGAATGCTTCTGGAACATGGCCATACAGCCCAAAAAACTTGTATCAACCCAGTGATTCTGGCCATGAAAGCCTTCGACAACACATCAGTACCTACAAGACCCATTCCAGTGAAGTGATCAAGAAGTTTGTCATGGACAACAGTGTAGAAAGCTGCTGAAACACCCAGCAGAACCGATACAGACACTCTCACCCCATCCAGTCCCTCCGTAAGCCATCCACAAAGGTAAGCAAAGCTTTTGCTTCCAATAGCCAGGTATGAAACCAGACTGAAATAGATCTAGATAATCAGTTGCATCTAGAAACACTTGGAATTGGGAAACTACCACATGCTCCAGTAAGTTACCCAAAAAATGGTAGATTGGATAGAGGCCAATCACTGTTATGAAGAGATTCAAGGATGGCTCTTTCAAAAAAAATGCTTCATTATTTGCCTCATTTATGCAACTTGAAATGCTGCCTTGTTCTATGAAGACATTGACAACTTACTTCACCCACTCTTCCAGCCCCCTCTATCCTATTTGATAAGCCAGAAAGGGCAAGGATCTAGAACACATGTTGTGGTTCTCACCTCTCCAAAGATCCTGTCCTTGGTCTGCATAAATCAAAAAGTACCCAATAACAGTGGACAAACTGGAGCCAAGGTTACATCTACTGGAAGTGTATCAACTATAGCATCTATGTCTGAGTAGATCTGAGTGGCTTCATTATTTTTTTCCTGCATTTGTAACCTGCCCTTCTCACCCCTGAGGGGGGACTCAGGGAGGCCTCACAGCAAGCACCATCTGTTGCTGTCACAATTATAAACATTCAGCAATACCATTAAAAGCATTGAACAATTAATTAAAACAGTTAATTAAAAACAATTATTTAAAAAACAGTCAGTTAAACAATCGATTAAACATGCCAATTAAAATCCAAATCTAGATCTGGGTCAATTTATTATTACGAGTTGCTTAAATCTTCTTTCCACATTGCTGCTATTCAATGGTCGAACGCTTGGTCCCATAGCCAGGTCTTGAGTTTCCTTCCAAAAGACAGGAGGGAGGTGGCCAGTCTGATGTCTCTGGGGAGGGAATTCCACAGACCAGGGGGCCACTGCTGAGAAGGCCCTGTCCCTCATCCCCATCAATCGTGTTTGCGATAGCGGTGGGATCGAGAGCAGGGCCTCTCCAGATGATCTTAGACTTCGGGATGGTTCATAACAGGAGATACGTTCAGACAGGTAAACTAGGCCAGAACCGCTTAGGGCTTTAAAGGTTAAAACCAGCACTTTGAATTGTGCTTAGAAGCAGACCGGCAGCCAGTGGAGCTGGTGTAACAGAGGGGTTGTGTGCTCCCTGTACGCAGCTCGGGTGAGCAACCTGGCTGCCGATCATTGGACTAATTGAAGTTTCCGGGTAGTCATCAGAGGCAGCCCCACATAGAGTGGGTTGCAATAGTCATCTGCAAAGTGCTGTGCAGTGGTCTGTACCTTACTCTCAGCCACAAAAGTTTACCTGGAAGTAAATCCTACTTTATTCAGTGCAACTTCAAAGGATAGCATTAATACTGTTCTAAATGCTATTATGATTTATTTCTCATTATTGGGCGTTTCATAGCTTATATCATATCCTAGTAGAAAGTTACAAAATCAATACAAAAAAAATATCAGTGAGACATTGAAATAATGTGCAGTGTTATGGCACATTATAATCTATACAACAAATTCACAGGAACTACGAGGCCTGCATCTGTTTCTAGCCAGTGTGCTTATTGAATAAGTTGACATTTCAACCTAGATTTTCCTGGAATAAACCCAACCTACTAAGGACCAGAAGTAGACTCTCCCCCCCCCCCTTAAAACGCATTACATTTGTGCCTCTAAGCTTTTCTTTCTTCAGCTAACTCTAGGGAGCAAAAGAAAGAGAAGCTGAGAAGAGAACGCAAATGAATCCCCCTTTGTGCACCAATTCCTTTCTAATGCAATTCATTCCAGATTCCCACCATTACAGAGAGTTATTAAGAAGAGGAAATGCACACTGATACTAAACTAATAATTCTGCAGGGAAACAAAATACTTAGCTGAAGGATTTTACATTTAAATAATTTACATTTCTCTTTTCAAGTAAAAACGTATACATTTGAAAGGAGGGAGCTATCTTATCCCAGCACTGTGTAAGATGCATATAGTTATGAATATGTCCCACATCCCACCCCGTTTTGACCCTCACACTCTTCTCCTGGCTTAATTAACTTTGAAGCAGCAGGAAATCCAGTGCAGAAGGACAATAACAATGCAGGAAGCACACAAGAAAACTGAATATGTTGAGTTAGTTTGAGAACATTGCCTTTGACATATTATACAATAGGAACTAGCCAGTGTACTTTTCTATCGTCACTGAAAATATAGGTAGGAAAGACTTCAGATTTCTGCAAGAAGGCCAACACTGTATTCAGTGATCAAGTGCAAAATGTATACCTAGCGTTTCCAGATTCTGTAGAAATGTAAGGCCCAAACTTCTTGAAAATGGCAAACAGTAGAATTGGCAATATAATGGTTAAGTGGGAAAATATCAAATATATTATACAGTGGGGATTTCAAAGTAGCTTGTAAGGCATTCATTTACTAGGAATAGTTACCTCTACACCTTTAACCATCTGTTTGTTCATACTGAATGGCTGATCAGTATTATGTGGCTGGCCTGCAAAGCTATTAAAATCAGAATTACTGTATACTAAATTTCTGCTTTAGTTCTTGTTTGTGACTCTTCTCATTTAATATGTTTAGATTAAAATAGTTTAGGAGCACACTATAAACATGCAATAAAGTGCTGGAAATCTTTAACTATTTCCCTACTGTACTCCACTCTATGTATCTAAAAGAGTGGTTCAAATATGTCAAAGATTTAACTTACCTCATTAGGTAGTTTTGAGAATCTGATATTAAGAATTAAGAAATGTCAGAGTGAGTAAATTATTACCATAAGAACAAGTGATTTCACCTAAATACTGAAAAACTCTCTTCTTTTTTTTGCGGAAAATAATATACAATGCATGCTGTTAATAAATTAAAAAATGTTTAAAAGGAGGGAAAGAACAAATGAAGTGTACTATGTATTTGTTTAAAACATTGTGAACCTGAATATTGACTTATAGGCAGTATAATCTCAGGTTGCAAACAACAGTGTCAGAATCCACTATCCCACAAAACCAGCTAAACACATTATTGCCCACAAATGTCCTTACCCTTTTCATCAAGGAGAACCATGATACTGTCTCTGTGAGTGTGTCCAAAAAACTGTCCAGCGATAACACTGCCATGTCTCCGAAAGATTTCTATCAACCTCTCGTTGTGGTGTTTCCTCATGGCAGTAGTATTTCTCATATAAGGAATGTAGCCTACTGGTACATGTCCTATCACATACACCTAGGGAATCAGAATGCAAGCATCACTGGGAATTCACTTAATCAATTATTTCCTGTATTTAATTGGCTATGTCTGATTTTTATGCTATGAGATCCCAAACTCAAAAGGTTACATTTCCTTTATGGAAATGTTTTAGTCCCTAAAGTGCCAATAATGGGTATTATTTCAGCTCTATCACATTTTTAGACAAAAAAATAACTCCAATGTCCAATTTGTCATCACCACATCAATTCTTGGGATTTTACATTTGCATTTAAATTTTATGTATGGATGATTGTTTGTGGATATCCACTGCCACATTTTTTTATGTGTGTGTCAGGAGCGATTTGAGAAACTGCATGTAGCTTCTGGTGTGAGAGAATTGGCCGTCTCCAAGGACATTGCCCAGAGGATGCCCTGATGTTTGATGCTTTACCATCCTTGTGGGAGGCTTCTCTCATGTCCTCGCATGTGGAGCGGGAGCTGTCAGAGGGAGCTCAACCGACTCTCCCTGGATTTGAACCACTATCGGTCAGCAGTCCTGATGACACACATAAGAAGCAGGGAGCTGCATCATCAGACATGTATTTGGCATGGTTCCCCTGCAAAGCAGGCAAAAGTCCATGAAGACAGCCTTCCTGCTGAATTATCTCACTATTACTGTTTCATCTGAATAATGCCTACCTTTTCCTTGTTCTGTTCTGCTGTTTCTAGTACATTTTCCAGCCATTCAAACTGGTTTGCTGGATCTGTCATATTCAGAGTCGTGTTGTCAGGAGAATAGTATAAGACTGTATTCAAACTTATTATCCTAAGAGGCTGAGCAGATGGGTTGGGATGAAATATCTGTGTATAAAAGCCACCTGTAGAGGAAAAGACCAAATTTATGTCTTTTGTTCTCAATCAAATCAGTTGGAAAAAGCAAACATTTTAGGATTAAAATACAGGTAATGATTTTACTCTGAAATAATCATCCATCCATTGTTCATCTTCTACATTCACATAATTGCAAATTTACAATGTTTTTTGAACTAAAAATAGATTTACTCATTTTGGTTTTTATTTCCTGCATTTTTATTTTGTAAATACAGGGTTCACTTTACCCTTCAAGTTCTAAAGGATTTAGATAGGAAGATAGGATAGAAAGTATATTTGCTTTCCTTTTATATAATCATGTTATGCTTCAAAGTTACTTTTAAGATTTAGAAGTTTATCACACTAGAGAAACTACTGATTTGTAAAACACTTTCTGAATATTACTGTTCAACAGTAACAGTACAGAAGTAAAAAAAAATCAAAGCACAAAAGTAACAATTTATATTGCATTATAAAAGGAAGTTAGAAGATTTCCTGAAATAATTTGTTTAACACAAACATGTAAACACTACTGAGAAAAGCCACATCTATCATGAAAACATTTAACATGGTGGGTGTTGTCACAAAATGTTGTATTCCATCAGCAAGGAAGAATGATCAGCTTTTCTGATAGTTCAGCAACAGAAAGGAGAGAATCCAAGTTTCAAACTTGTGTTTAGCATTCCAATGTAATTTGTATTAACACAGGAAATTAAAAATAGGAAATCAATTTATTGTCGAAGGCTTTCATAGCCAGAATTACTGGGTTGTTGTAGATTTTATGGGCTGTATGGCCATATTCTAGAAGTATTCTCTCCTGATGTTTCACCTGCATCTGAGGCAGGCATCCTCAGAGGTCACACAGCCCAAAAAACCTACAACAACCCAGGAAATTGATTAAATGAACACTGTTACCTTTTTTTAGGGTACTGACAGCTTCATCAGTAATCCAAGGTCTCCAGAAATTTGCTGCAGCATTGTAAACTTCATTGGCTGACACAGGTATCTGGTCCTTTAAATACAGACATCTCTCCTTAGACCTGAGACTTCAAATGCAACCGATGAAACATGGCCAAATATAACTTACAAAGGTATAACTTAACTAATACAATGGGATCTACAATAGGCAGTATGGCACCCATATCTGCAGGGAATGTGTTCTCAGGCTGGTCAATTGGGCTTAAAAGTGTACATCGATTTTTTCACCTTTAATTCAATTACCTCATTCTGCTCCATGCGGAAGCCTGACTTTTTGATGGAATCACAGATAACATGGAATATTTTTGAGAAAGCCATTGTAAAACCTATTGCATTGCTAAGATATCCACAAGTGCACCCTGCTATAGTAAAGGCCCTAGAAAAGCTGATTCAGCAATAACATAACAATAGTCATGCTATTCCTTTGTTTCTTAGTTTCTGACTTGTTCAGACAACAACAAAGAAGAAATCCCAGTTAAGATGTCAGGCAGAACAAATCACAGACAGCAAAACCATGGTTTGTTTACCCATGCTATTAAGAAGAACTAACTAGGAACAATTGCATAGTGTTGACTTCCAGAATGTTTATTCTTTTACTATGAACCACAGTTGCAAAGAATCATGATGTAAAAATACAAGCAGTGAAAGTCTGGTTATAAGCCAAAGATATTACTAGACTTAAAAAACAAAAAAGACCAATGCATTTAAAACAATTTGAGGCTCAAATGCACTAATATATAATAGTAGATGTTTCAGCTGATCTTTCCACTAGACATTATCAGTTAATATTCCAAACTTCTAATTATTTTAGCAATTAAAATTCAGCTGAATTTCAAGATCTATATGTCAGTTCAATACCAGCAGGTCCAAACAGTCCTGTGTAAAGACACAACTTAAAAATTTGCCATATGTGCCACCTTTCTCTCCTGGGGGGGGGGGGGGGGGGGGTCTTGAAATTCAAGGGCATTTTCAAATCTTGGAGTCCATAACATTTGGGACATAATCAAGTGACCAAAACCATGTCCACACTGACACGCAAGAAAAATAATAATAGTACAGTTGTATTTCCTGTATTGAAATGTAGGTCCTGTAAAAAAAATTCTTCTTAAAAAAACTGCAAGCAAGCAAAGAACTGCTGAATCATATATATCATATCAAGTTTTAAAACAGTGTTATATACATTTACTTGTGAATAAATGCCACTTAATTCAGCATGAGTAAGCTAACAGAGTATCAGGCTAATATACAATTAACATACTTGAGAAACATGTTTTACCTGTGGCCAATAGTCATGATTTCCCAATGCAGGAAAAACCTGGAGATCTGGGAGAAAGCTTCTTATGGTAGAAGTCAAGTTACCAATAATATCAATGACTATTTTTGTAGACAGCTCTTTCACTGAAACATGAGGGGGACTGTCTCTTTAAGGAAACAGGAAAAGCAGAAGTTAAATAAATTGCATACTAGTTTGTGGTTTTAGAAATTAAACTAATTTGTTTTGTACAGTGTGACATATAAAGAACAATATAAAGGCAGTCCCCAAGTTATGAGCAAAACAGATTCTGTAAACTTGTTCTTAAATTGGATTTGTGTGTAAGTCAGAACAGGTACATTTTAAAGGATAACCCCAGCCATGTGTGTGTCTGTGTGTGTGTGTCTGTGTCTGTGTGTCTCTCTGTGTGTGTGTGCTTTGGATGGCATAGGGAAGGATAAATACCCCTGTGGTGCTGGTTTTCCTGTCTATGCCTCTGTTCAAAATATTTCACCTCGCATTCTGTCCCGGTTATAATTTGATTTTTTTTTTTAAAAAAAATGGTTTGTTGTGGAAACAAGTATTAGAGAGAAAGTTTCAGGGCCCTTCCACACAGCCATATAATCCAGAATATCAAAGCAGATAATCCACAAAATTTCCTTTGAACTGGGTTATCTCAGTCCACACTGCCATATAATCCAGTTCAATGTGGATTTTATGCAACTGTGTGGAAGGGGCCTCGGGACCCTTTCACACAGCCCTTTATCCCAGAATCTTATCCCAAGTTTTCTGTTTATCCCAGATTATCTGGCAGTGCAGACTCATATAATCTAGTTTAAAGCAGAAAACCTCTGATCAGATCCTGGGAAATAGGACCTGTCTGGAAGGGTCCTCAGTTGAGATGTCTTTTCCCCATGATAATTTCCCTTTTGGGGGGCAGATTTCTCTCACTTCCTGTTGTCTTACCCACTTTTTAAACTGTGAGTCATTTGTAAATTGAATGTCTGTAACTCGGGGACTGCCCATATACTATAATTAACATATGTCAACAATTTGAAATAAACAAATATTTTTATTTGTCGTGTCAGGACAACCAATAAACAAATATGAAAGGTTTTCATGTGTCATAGATATTGTTTTAGTACCAATTGCACAATTAAAAAGAATAGCAGCATGTGCAACTTTCAGTTTCCAGTATTCCTGTCCAACTTGTCTAGAAAAAGGAACTTTACTAATGCTTTCATTTGTTTCCATGTGAGATCTGGAGAAAGAGAAGAAGACCTCACAACCTCTGAGGATGCCTGCCATAGATGCAGGTGAAACGTCAGGAGAGAATGCTTCTAGAACATGTCCATACAGCCCGAAAAACCTACAACAACCCAGAGAAGAGACTGCAATACAGTACATCCTAACTTAACACTCGAGAGATGGGGAATCAGCCCTTTGATGGAGCCCTTTTATGGAGCCCCCGGTGGCACAGTGGGTTAAACCCCTGTGCCGGCAGGACAGAAGACCGACAGGTCGCAAGTTCAAATCCGGGGAGAGGCGGATGAGCTCCCTCTACCAGCTCCAGCTCCTCATGCGGGGACATGAGAGAAGCCTTCCACAAGGATGATAAAAACATCAAATCATCCGGGTGTCCACTGGGCAACGTCCTTGCAGACGGCCAATTCTCTCACACCAGAAGCGACTTGCAGTTTCTCACGTCGCTCCAGACACGACAAAAAAAAACAAACTACAGAAGTAACATTTCTGCAATACCTTTGGGAAAATATTGTAATACCTTCATACCTCTGAAAATTCTGAGAATGTCTTGGACCCCAAGAAGACCAAGCAGTCCATACTTCAGGAAATAAAGCCCGACTGCTCATTGGAGGGAAGGATATTAGAGGCAAAGATAAAGTACTTTGGCCACATCATGAGAAGGCAGGAAAGCTTAGAAAAGACAATGATGCTTGGGAAAATGGAAGGAAAAAGGAAGAGGGGCCAACCAAGGGCAAGATGGATGGATGGCATCTTTGGAGTGACTGGCTTGACTGGGGAGCTGGGGGTGGCCACGGCCGACAGGGAGCTCTGGCGTGGGCTGGTCCATGAGGTCATGAAGAGTTGGAAGTGACTGAACAAATAAACAACAACACCTTCATACCTCAGGGCTTTAAAACCATAAGAATACGTATTTCTTTCCTAAAGTTTTTGTAACTTAAAAAAAGAAGAAGAAGATGTAATTCGCTTATATAAATTTGTTGTGATGTTTCAAGCTTTACTTACCCTGTCCATATCATGAAAGATGCCTGTTGATCAGAATCCTTTATGTACTGCAAAGCTGATAAAATAAGTTGATACGGAGAATCACACATAAAATCTCCATATAGGCCAGGGTTGGAAGCATTTTCCCCTTTGGAAGAGGCACAAACCCGAGTGTGATTCCTTGCAACGTGGTAGGTGGGGTCCAGGTGTAAATCAGTGATATGCCAGAACTTCCCTGTTTTTAGAGGGGAAAAATAACAGAAGTTAAATATAAGTTTTTCCTACTGTAAAAAAGGCAGAGCTACTGAATACTGCAACCCTAAAATTAAAAGTCAGGGTAAATAAACACTACTTTGAACATATTCATTAGACCAGTATGTTGCCAGCAAGTAAAAAGGGTGCAACTACAAAATTTATTAACTACAAAATGTTGTACTCCATTGGATTTACCAATTTTATGAATGGAAAATATGAAATATTATATTTCTATAATTTAGGCTGGAGCTACCCAGCCCTATATCACAGGATCTGATCCCAGATTATCTACTTATCCCAGGTCATTTGGCACTGCAGATTCATATAATCCAGTTTAAAATTAAGAACAACTTTAACCAACATAAAGTTTGAATTGTGGGCCTGCAATCACTTCTAGCAATTATTTATAGTAATAAATGATCTAGTAAGAAGAAAAAAACAGCCAGTCCTTGATATTCTAAAAATTGGGAACGGTTTAAAGGAAAAACCTTGCTGTTTCAAACCTTTACCTCAAACTTTCCAAACATGTTATATTGGCGGCACACTTTTGAAACATGTATCATTTCGTGAAACAGTAATCCAGTTTTACTAGCAAATTGGAAGTTAAACCAACCCCTTTAAAGAGATACAGACTCATACATAAATTGTAATAATGAAATGTACTGGGACACAACATAACTCATGAAAATCTTTAATTTACATTTTTAAAATATATGCTTTATTGATTATTTCACATGAACTCACAGGTTTCTTGTTATGTCTGTGCAACATGCATACACACTGCAGCCAACATACTAACATGTCATGGCATATAGTTTGAAAAGCTCTGCTTTAGAAGAATTGGGCAAAGCAAGAAAAAGTAGTTACACAAAGGCCCCTCCTACATGCCAGATAATTTAGGCTATCAAAGCAGAAAATCTACATTATCTGATTTGAACTAGATTATCTTAGGCCCCTTCCACATAGCTATATAAAATCCCACATTATCTGCTTTGAACTGGATTATATGGCAGTGTGGACTCGGGGTGCATCCACACAGAGTGGAAAATGCACGCCCTCCTGTATTTTTAATCAAATTATTTAGATACTGGAATTATGGCAGCTAAAGTGGTGTCAAAGTACATAAATTCTATAGTGTAGGTCAACCCTAACTGAAATTGCCAGGAGACTCAATCAATCATTGCACCTTCCATAAGTGATGACCAATGAGGCTGCTTTAGACCCTAGCAACAACAACACAAAAGGTTGCAATAGGAAAGAAGAGATTTTTAAAAGTCCAAATTTGGCTTTTGCATTTTGAGAGAATTTGAGAGCTAAGACAAAATTAAGGGCATTATCCCACACAGTACCCTCTCATTTCTAGACACTTTGAAAACAATGTATGGCCGAGCCCATCTCATGATGTAGGGGGGATTCTTGCATGCGTCTGTCATGCCTCCTTAGAAGAGTGTTTCTTACATGTCAGGAAATGTGGCCGGGAGCTCAGGAATCACTATGTAACTGGAGTAACCGGGGGGGGGGGGGGGGGGGGGACACACGAGAGATAGGATGTGTCAAATTTTCTCGTATTTAATTGCTTTGTAAGGGTGGTCCCCTACCAAGTACTGACATTTCTGTCCCAAAATCCTGCTTCATGAATCTGGTTTGGTAATTTTAAAAAAAATTAATTGAATTATTAGAAATATCAAAATTTCAAAATGTTTTTGTTTTTCTTATCATTTTGCCTTCATATTATTGTTAACTATTCAAGTTGTGGTACTGCACGTTTTTTAAGTTTCAGACTTTTGCAATGGAGAGTACTGAGATTGAGAGGAAAATCCACTATTCCCAAAGTGGTGTCTAGTTAAGATCTACTTCAGGTCTACTCCAGAGTAGCAGGATTGGTGGGAAAAGCCAAGTATCCTCAAAGTTTTTTTCCCCCCCAAGGTTTTCTTTTTTTAAAAAAAATGGAGTGGGCGGGAACTGCAAATGGATGATTTTGGGAGAAAAGGCAAGAAAGAACAACATGTGATGGGATCTGAGAAATGATACGATTTATTTTATAATGCAACGGGACATAATGCCACAGTAATATGACACTCTCCTCCCCCACCCTTGGTGGGATAATGTCCTAACTCACTCTGTTATTAAGATACCTTCCAACCTTGTGATAATTACATATTGGAATAGAGGTGGGTAAAATGGTTTTAGACCCTGATGGGAAAAGGAAGAAACAGCCCGACACTATACAACTCTTTAGGAACTGGATAACATAAAGGAAGGGAACATAAAACTGAGGGAGAGTTCAAAGTCCTTCTTCTGTTCTATAAACTCAAAACACTGCATACCTTCAGCAACAGCAACCTTCTTTATTATCCTTTGAGTAGTTATTTGCTTGGTATGTGTTGCATTGTGTATAGTACAACAGTCCTGATAGTAAGAACTACTAAAGGACACAGAAGATTAACACCATATAATTTAATGGGCACAAAGAGATGTAAAGGTTATATATTCAGAGTCTGTGGACTGAGAAAGAGTATTAATTAAATACAAGTTGAGTATCCCTTATCCAAAATGCTTTTTTTCTGAATTTGCATACACCTGTATTTGCACATGTGTACATAATCTTAAGGATGGGGCCCAAGTCTAAACATAAAATATTTTATGTTTCATATACATATTATACATAATCTTTTATAATTTTGTGCCTGAAATAAAGTTTGAGTACATGGAAGCATCAGAGAACAAAGGTGTCGTGACTTCAGCCCTCTTTGTGGACAATTTTGGAATTTCCAATTTCCGATAAGGAGTGCTTTGTAGGACAGATGTGGAGATAAACACTCTGCTATCTCTATAGCGCTTAAAGTGGTGGCCCAAGGACTGGTGCTACCAATTTGTGCTGACCTTTCAGTAAAAAAACAATTCTAGTCAATGGGTTCAGTCCCTAGCATTTTAGAGAAAGAAAAGTCCCCCAGCCCAAGCTGCACTAGACGAAATGGCTTTTTGGTGCATTGCGTGCCAGACATCACTGGGATCTTTTCTAGTCATTTTCAGCACACTGAGCTTTAAAAATGTATCTTTCTCGATTATGCGCCAGATATCATCAGTACACTTTGTATCTACCTCCAGTGAGGTGAGCTTATAAAATGGTCTATTTTGCTCTATCAAGAGAGGTCATGTTTCTAAACAATGTAACCCGGATTAGTACTAAATACATATATCCAGATGACAGCAAGGCAACTTTAGCTTATTCAAATGATCCCTGTCACATTCTCTGAAAACCTCCCTTGTTGTCTCCACAAAAATATCTTGTCCTTTTAGCATCTGTGTGACAAGTTGAAATTCAACTGAAGCTTGATTGTCATGTCTGCCCTGAAGCCATAACCTTATTCTAAATAGAACAGATTAGACGGTAAAACCATTCCTGAATTGTATCTCTTCATACAGCATATAACATATGCCAACTCAAGACATTTTGCTGCTTGGGACAATGGACCAGATGAATCTCTTCTCCTCAAAACCATATACAGAAGCCAAATGCACTGGTAAATTAATCTTACACCAACACTGGCAACTGAAGTGAAGTCTTCAATGCATCTGAAGATAGCAGGATGATTTAGGGCCCTTCCACACAACCATATATTCCAGAATATAAAGGCAGGAAACCCCACAATATCTGCTTTGAACTGGGCTATCTGAGTCCACACTGCCATATATTCCAGGTCAAAGCAGAAAATGTGGGATTTTATACAGCTGTGTAGAAGGGGCCTTAGAAAGTGCAGGCCAGACTGGGGACATGGAAGGAATGAATGGAAGAAGTTGCCTTAGTTCTGTTGAATGCTCCTATACAGCAAAACTTTTATGCACAGAAGTCTGACATTAATTGTTACAGCTCTTTGGATTGTTGTTGCAAGCAGAACCTACTATACTGTGTTGCTGTATAAACCCATCCTTTATAACAGGGATCCCCAAACTAAGACTCGTGGGCTGGATGCAGCCCTCCAAAACCATTGAATTGGCCTCTGCCCTAAACTTTAGCCTTAGGGTTGCCCTAAGTCCTAAACACTTGAAGGCACACAACAACAACAACTCCGATTAACTTGACTCTCTCATCAGCCAAAAGTAGGCCCAAACTTCCCAATGAAATACTGGTAAGGTTATGTTAGTTAAAACTGTACTTCATTTTAAATAATGTATTGTTCCTTCATTTTTTGCATTACTAATAGGATATGTGCATTGTACTTAGGAATTCGTTCATGGGTTTTTTTTTCTCTCAAACCACCGTCTGCCCTTCCCCCCCCCCCCCCCAACAGTCTGAGGGACCATGCTTAAAAAGTTTGAGGACCCCTGCTTTAAAAGCATGTTTTTATTTTGTGGTACCAGTCAAGAACAGAAAACCTGCAGTAAATTGAGGCTGAGAGTGTTGGGCTTGCCCAAGGTCATCCAGTGGGCTTCCATGGCTGGGTGCAATCCAAACCTTGGTCTCCAGAATACCAGTACTTAAACTACTCTGGGCCCATCAAGACAGGACCTTTATTGCAGTATCTCCCGCAATAAAGGAAGGGCTGTCCAAATACCCCTCCAAAAACCCTGGTTTGTAGCAAATTAATTTGATAGTGGATTTATTCCATGCCTTCTTGGAAGGTGTGGGATAAATCCACTATTTCTGCTCCTTATTCCAACAGTTTACCAGGCTAAATAAGCAGGCTCTTCCAGCGCATAGAAATGATGCACCAGGAGAGGGTGGAGGGGAGGAAAATCGCTCTCCCCCCCCCCCACCCCCCAGTCTCCTGGCACGTCATCTCTACGTGCTGGGAAAGCCTGCCGAGGCTTGTAATGGAGGTCTGGTAAGTTTATATTACTGGGAGCTTGGGGGAGGGAGGGCCTCCAGACTTTCTCTTGGGCTAGTCCCAAGAGAACGTCTGGACACCCACCTCAGAAAGACAGGCCGCCAGGAAAATCCATGTTTTTTAAACACAGATTCTCCTGGGATAAAGGTCTGTCTGGATTCAGCCTCACTCTAGACGGGCTGGAGCAGAATCCCATTATTTCCTAGCTCATTTTTGCACAGCAGTTTACCACAGGAATGTTGATGCAACCTGAAAATCTGGTTATTCCCCCAACCCTCCTTCACAATGGCCTAAATGTTGGTTGGGTTTAAACCCCTTAACCTAGGCTCCTTAGAGGCCCCTTCCACATAGCTGAATAAAATCCCACATTATCCGAACTGGAATATATCACAGTGTGGACTCAGGGCCCTTCCACACAGCTCTATATCCCGGAATATTAAGGCAGAAAATCCCACATTATCTGAGTGTGGACTCAGATAACCAGTTCAAAGCAGATATTTTCTGCCTTGATATTCTGGGATATAGGACTGTGTGGAACGGCCCTCAGATAACCCAGTTCAAAGCAGATATTGTGGGATTTTCTGTCTTGATATTCTGGGTTATATGGCTGTGTGGATGAATAGCTCTATAAAATTCACATTATCTGCTTTAAACTGTATTATATGGCAGTGTGGATGAATAGCTCATCACACCAGAGCATGGATCCACCTTGAATCCGGGTTCTGCCTCCCAGAATTCTAGGACTTATAGTTTAGTGAGGCCCAGGACCTCTCTAGTTGAGCAGTTTAAAGGCTCCTCCTTAAACTAAAAGCCCCAGAATTCTGCAGGAGGCAGAAAGGGTATCCATGCTCAAGTGTGATGAGGTCCTTAGATAATCCAGTTCAAATTAGACAATGTGGATTTTCTGCTTTGATAACCTGGATTATCCGGCAATGCAGAAGGGTCCCAAGACAAGAGAACAAGAAGGGAAGAGGAGGCTCAATGCTGTGGAATTATGAGAGTTGTATCCACCAAAGAGTGCTGGTGCACCATCAAACTGCAACTCCTATGATTCCATAGCTTTGAGCCATGACAGGTATCCAACTGCATTAATTCTACAATAGCTGGCCCTTCCACACGACCATATAACCCAGAATATCAAGATAGAAAATCCCACGTTTGAATATATGGCAGTGTAGACTCAGATAACCTAGTTCATGTTTTGAACTGGGTTATCTGAGTCTACACTCAGATAATGTAGGCCCCTAAAACAGCCATTTGAAAGATGATATACCGTACGTGCAAAACATATTAAAATGATCGGGGCATCAATGTATAGAAATAAAAATGTAATGTTCATTTGTGGGATTAACATAACTCAAAAACCACAAGATACCTACTAACTCAAGCAGTGACCATCACTCAAAAAAAATTGATTTTGTCATTTGGGAGTTGTAATTGCTGGGATTTATAGTTAGCCTACAATCAAAGAGCATCCTGAACTCCACCAATGATGGAATTGAACCAAACGTGGCACACAGGACACCCATGACCAACAGAAAACACTAGAAGGGATTAGTGGCCATTGACCTTGAGTTTGGGAGTTGTAGTTCACCTACATCCAGAGAGCACTGTGGACTCAAACAATGATGGATCTGGACCAAACTTGGCACAAATATTCCATATGCCCAAATATGCACACAAATGGAGTTTGGGGGAAATAGACCTTGACATTTAGGATTTGTAGTTACTGGGATTTATAGTTCACCTATAATCAAAGAGCATTCTGAACCCCACGAACGACAGAATCAGGGCAAACTTCCCAAACAGAACCAGGAATATCATACAGCAGGCCCATAGCCAGGATTTCGATTTGGGAGTGGGGGGGTGGGGTGCTGAGCTTTTTTCAGGGGGGTTTCGGGGGGGGGAGGGGGGCTGAGTCTGAGTGAAAGAGGGTCTACCCTAGCAAACCTTTTGTATCATTACCCCAATACCCCCATGCATATGGGATATATTGAGTATGGTGATATGATCATGATATGAATAAACATAACAGTTTAAATAATGCACCAGTAAGGCCTTTTCGCGAACCACCATGAGAATTTCGGGGGGGCTGAAGCCCCCCCAGCCCCCCCCCTCCCACACAGAACGCCCATGACCAACAGAAAATACTTAAGGCCATCCAGTCCAACTCCCTTCACCAGGGCAAGAAATCATAATCAAAGCCCTCCTGACAAAGAGCCATCCAGCCATAGATATAGATAGATATATATGATTCACACACAGACACACATATAGTATCACAGATTTGAAAGGGACCCCTAAAGAAGGACAATTATATGTTGCATGTTCCAGAGTAGGCAAACCAGACAATCTCCACATCAACACTGACAAAGAAACAGCCAGAAATACTATTTACCCACAAGCCAAGAAATTACATATATTAGAAACCAACACTTTCTCGTAACTTTATTTTTCAGATCACTAGACTGGGCCACAGCAACGCCTGGCGGGGGGCTGCTAGTCATAATGTAAAAAGCATTTGGATAGGCATGTTAAAAGTTGTGCCAAGCCAAGGGGTGCCTCTACACCAGTGGTTCTCAACCTGTGGGTCCCTAGGTGTTTTGGCCTTGCAACTCCCAGAAATCCCAGCCAGTTTACCATCTGTGAGGATTTCTGGGGGTTGAAAGCCAAAACATCTGGGGACCCACTGGCTGAGAACCACTGCTCTACACTTTAGTCTGACACCACTTGGGACTGCCATGGCAGGGAGTTGTAGTTTGGCAAGGCCCGTAAGCCTTCTCTGCGGAAGAGTGCTGGGGCCTCCCCAAACCCAGCTCCCAGGGTTCCCTTGTTGACAGCTCCAGCCGTGTCAGACTGCATTAGTTCCACAGCGTAGGCGCAGCCAAGGAAACCTCCGGCCGGCGCGCCAGGCTTTTGCAGAAGCGAGGTTCCCTGGGGCCACTTCCAGCCCGGCCTCCCTCCTTCCCTCCCTCCCTTCCTCTTCGTCCTCTTCCTTGGCTCGCCTGGACGTCGCGGGCCGGAGGTGACCCTGCCTGTCCTGGAGCGGCCTTGGCCTGCGGGGGGGGGGGGGGGGGGGGGGGGGGGGGGGGGAGAGGGAAGGAGGAAGGAGGGAGAGAGAGAGGGGGGCGTCACTCACCCGGGCGGAGGGCCGGCGCGGCGCGGAGGGGCAGGGCGCACAGGAGGAGCAGGAGCATCCGCCCCCAAAGGGACAGCCACAGGCAAGGGCTCGCCATACCCGTCGCAGCCTCGCCTCCGTCCCGGGAGAAGCTCTCTCTTGTGACGCCTTCAGGAGGAGGAGGAGGAGGAGGAGGACAAGCGCGGCCCCTTCCTTCCCTCCTTCCTTCCTTCTCTTGCACTGCAGGGCTTACTTTCTCTTTCTTCGCCCACGGAAGCCCGGACACTGAATCTTTGATCCCTTCCCCCTTCTCCCTCCCTCCCTCCCTCCGTTCCTTCTCGTCGCTCAAGTTTTACCTGCAGGTTGTGTTTTTGTTGTCCAGCCTAGAAAGACTAGCCTTTGTATTTTGTTATCTGAATGCTGTCCAATACATCAATCAGGATAAGGGCAGGGGAAGGACCTTTTAAGCAGAGGCTGGATGGCCATCTGCGATTTTCCTGCTTCTTGGCAGGGGGTTGGACTGGATGGCCCACGAGGTCTCTTCCAACTCTGTGATTCAGTGGGGCCTCCCACACAGCCCTATATCCCAGGATGTCAAGGCAGGAGATCCCGCAATATCTGCTTTGAACTGGGTTATCTGAGGGCCCTTCCACACAGCCCTGTATCCCAGAATATCAAGGCAGAATACCCCACAATATCTGCTTTGAACTGGGTTATCTGAGTCCACACAGATAATGTGGGATTTCCTGCTATTTCCTGCTATTCTGGGATATAGGGCTGTGTGGAAGGTCCCTCAGTCCACATTGCCATATATTCCATTATCAAATCAGATAATGTGGGATTTTATTCAGATGTGTGGAAGGGGCCCAAGCCTGTGTTTGCAAGGCATCTGAGCTGCGGAAGGGTCATAGAATTATAGGGCCCTTCCACACAGCCCTGTATCCCAGGACATCAAGGCAAGAAATCCCACATTATCTGCGTGTGGCCCTCAGATAATCCAGGACTGTTCCAGACAGGCCCTATATCACAGGAATTGATCCCAGGTTTTCTGCTTTAAAATGGATTATATGAGTCCGCACCACCAGATAACCTGGGATAAACAAAACCTGGGATCAGTCCTGGAATATAGGGCCTGTCTGGAAGGGCCCCCCGGTTCAAAACAGATATTGGATTATCTGATTTGAACTGGATTATATGAATCTATATTCCCAGATAATCTGGGACAAGAAAATAATCTGGCATGAGATCCTAGGATGTAGGACAGGATGGATCCAGTCTAGGCCCCAGTTCAAAGACAGGCAACTGTCATGCTTTGAGGTTGATTCTACATTGCCATATATTGCAAATTGAACTACATTGTAAGGTCAGTGTTGAACCATATTAAAAGTAATTATCGTTCCCAGAAGGTGTTATTGGGTGACACCTGTTCAACCTCACAACCATTGTCTTGTGGGGTTCCTCAGGGCTCAATACTGTCTCCCATGTTGTTCAACATCTACATGAAGCAGCTGGGTGAGATCATCCGGAGTTTCGGGGTACGGTGTCATCTGTACGCAGATGATGTCCAACTCTGTCACTCCTTCCCACCTGCTACTAAGGAGGCTGTTGAGGTCCTGAACCGGTGCCTGGCCGCTGTGACGGTCTGGATGAGGGCGAACAAATTGAAATTGAATCCAGACAAGACAGAGGTACTCCTGGTCAGTCGCAAGGCCGAACAGGGTATAGGGTTACAGCCTGTGCTGGATGGGGTCGCACTCCCCTTGAAGGCGCAGGTTCGCAGCTTGGGTGTGATCCTGGATTCATCGTTGAGCCTGGAGCCCCAGGTTTCAGCGGTGACCAGGGGAGCATTTGCACAGCTTAGGCTCGTGCGCCAGCTGCGCCCGTACCTCGGGAAGTCTGACTTGGCCACGGTAGTCCACGCTCTTGTCACATCCCGCCTAGACTACTGCAACGCTCTCTACGTGGGGCTGCCCCTGAAGACGGCCCGGAAGCTGCAATTAGTCCAACGCGCGGCAGCCATGATTCTAACAGGAGCGGAGCGCAGGGAGCACACAACCCCCCTGTTGCGCCAGCTCCACTGGCTGCCAATTTGCTACCGGGCTCAATTCAAGGTGTTGGTATTGGCCTATAAAGCCCTAAACGGTTCCGGCCCAAGATACCTATCTGACCGCATCTCGGCCTATGAACCCACCAGGACTTTGAGATCTTCCGGGGAGGCCCTGCTCTCGATCCCGCCGGCCTCCCAAACACGGTTGGCGGGGACGAGAGATAGGGCCTTCTCGGTGGTGGCTCCTCGGCTGTGGAACGCCCTTCCTACAGACATTAGGTTGGCACCATCTCTCATAGCATTCCGAAAAAAGTTGAAGACCTGGAGGTTTGTGCAGGCGTTTGAGTAATTTAATGCAATCTGGTAACCGAACATAGGAATGGAACAATGGATGACGAACTTGGATCATGCATGGATGATGAGGCGATTGGGTATGGGTTTTTTTTGTAATAGTTGTGTATTGGGATTGCTTATTAGTTATTAATGGAAAATGTGTAAGTTAACTGTCATTGTTGTATGGAACTATTGCTGTTTTTATTGTCTTTACTGTTTGTGAACCGCTGTGAGTCGCCCTCGGGCTTGAGATACAGCAGTATATAAGCATAGTAAATAAATAAATAAATAAATATGTTGGTCTAGATCAGTGGTTCCCAATCTTTTTTTTTTCTTTTTCTTTTTTTTTTGGCCAGGGAACACTTGAACAGGGACCACTTTGACTAGGGACCACTCTCCAGCATTAGTACCAAAATCACTTTTTGGTCAACTTTAGATTTGGTTTGGTTATTTAGGATGTTGATTCAGAAAATTGCATTAAATAGACTACATCAGCCCTAGTTTCTGATAAAGAACATATGCCATCCAGTAGTCTCCATCTGCTTGTCCATAGAAAACCATATTTAATAATCTAGGACTGATATGGTAGTAACAATCTTTCGTGGGTAGTCACCCTCTCCCCTCCCAACATCCCCATTGCCTTAGCACTATAAGAGAGTTTCACGAGAGTTTCAGTGGAGTAATCACACTTGTTGCTGTATGGTTTCAAGGCAACAGTGTAGTAATGGTGAAGCTACTCTTGGGGGCCAGCGATAGTCCACGGACCATAGCTTGGGAACCACCGGTCTAGATATTTCACTAAAATATTAACCCCAAAACCTTATGTCAGCATATCCACAGGTCAATGTGAGCACTGTATCCTAACAACCCCCTTTTCTGAGTGGAGTGGTGAAAGGCAGAATGTAGTGCTTCCCAGGAGAACCTAAAAGAGCATTGACCCCTTATTCTTCCTCTGGCATGGTGCTGCTGCTGGCCTTTTTGAGTGCTTAGGTGGAAAAAATGGTGGTGGCAGTCTGGGAAGGATTTATGCTTCCCCCTCTCCACAGAATGGCCCTTAACTAATCCACAGGTCACATCAAAATCCATAATTTTGGTCCTCAAACCTGTCTTCGACTTATACATGAGCATATGTGGTACCTCTGTAGATGCATAATGTCCATAAAACAAATATGAGATACAGAAACACTGCCCTTTAGCCTTATAACAGCAACTACAACAAGTTTGGGAATGGGATGAAGAAAGGAACTGATGATTTGATACCCTCCAACAGTCCTGGTTTGGCAGGGATTATTATTTATTATTCTTACTTATTTTATTTATAGTATTTATATTCCATCCTTCTCACTGTGCAGGGAACTCAGGGTGGATAACAATGCACATATACATGGCAAACATTCAGTGCCATTTAGACATATAACATATATAGACAGACACAGAGGCATTTAACATTCCAGCTTTTCCGGCATCATGAGGGCATAAGTTTGGCCACAGGGGGAGTTGCCGCTTCACCGTCCACTTGTGATGCCGAGTCCTTCGATGGAGTACTTCCTCATTCTTCTGCATGCTGCTAGAAGGTTTTATGGCATCGTAAATTAGTTAAATTAGCCTCCCGCATAAGGTGGTACCTAAATTTCCTACTTGACAGATGCAACTGTCTTTCAGACTGCATAGGTCAACAGCAAGCTAGACTATTAATGGCCGGGAGCTTACTCTGAACCGGTCTGGCTTCGAATTCATGACCTCTCATCAGTAGTTATTTAATACAGCTGGCTACTAACTAGCTGCACCAGTCCAGATTATCCAGATTAATTCTCTATCTTTCCACTTTTGAGCCTTTTTAAAAATGTCCCAGTTTCTTTCTCCTTCCCCGCATTCCACCTTCATCCTGTTTACTTCCATTGATGCAAACTAAATTCTATAGAGTCAGATATTTTGAACCTTTTTTAATTTGTTTGTCTTCATACTTAGAAACCCTGTACCTAAATCTATTGCCATTTATGTAGCTTACATACAGAAGCCTAATAACAAAAAGTTTGCAGAATGGAGGGAAAACAACCGTGATCTAGTGGAGGATGTTTGGAGGCTCACCTTAATTGCCTTTTATACTTGCATCTCATATATTTGCTTATACCTTTGATGAAATGTCCGTGAATATATGTAATTTTCCCTCATCTGTGTTTTAAATTATTTTGCATTTTAAAGAAAAACCCACTCTGTGCTTTGTTCTCAATATAAAACATTCTGAAAGATTTTAGAAACAGCATTATTCTTAGTACTTTGATGTTCACTTCTCTTGCTTGCATCGTCAGTAGCAAGTCAATAAAATTTTATTTTGGCTGTTGCTATGCATAAAGGGAAGTATGTCGGTAGGAAAGGGAGGAAGAATAATTCATTTTAAGTATACCTGGGATGCGAATGGATATCACAGCACAGAAGAAGTGTGTGCATTTTGAATATGTATCATTTAAACCCAGTGCACATTTCTGCTGCTTCTTCTCTCCTTCCCACCTGGAACCTAATTGCCTTTTTCTTTCACTTGGTACCACCATAAATCAGTTGCCATGGAAATTAACTCCATTCAAATGATAGCTTTTTCCATGGAGATGAAGTCAACAACCTTGTTCTCACATCTCTGGGAAGAGGAGGCATGGGAAAGGCAGTCCTCTGCTTTGAGCCCACAAACCAGACAGCAGTGATGTGAGCTGTATTAATGGATTACAGACACAATGTGTATTACCATACCACAGTCACAAAACATTGCAGGCCATGGAGAGGAGTATTATGAGCTTGCACAAATAGGCTATAGTCTTGCAAAGATTCACACACACACAACATGATTCTACATTTATATCAGTCCTTCCAGCACTTCCTGTATCAGAATTGTATACCATTTCTTGAATAAATGCTAGTATTACGGGCATTTCAATATCAG